TATATATATATATATATATATACACATACACACACACACACACACACACACTCTACTTTCGTGTAGAGTTTTCTCTCATTTTTTGTGTATGGGTCTTGGCCTCTGATTAGATTAAGCATTTTAGAGCTAAGTCCATGACCTAGGCTTCTGTATTCCTTTAGCTCATAGTGGGTTTTTGGTGTGTACCTGATAATTTAAGTTGAATAATAATAGAAAGAGGACAAGCCTTTAGTCAGGGATGATTGCATTAATTTCTAGTTCAGCCACCTTGGTAAAGTCAGGAGCTATTATTTCCTCATGGATAACTGGGGATAATAAAACCTGAAATGGTTGTCAAATAGTCAAGTTGTGAGAATAGAAATAAAGTAAATGTGATTATAGATATGAATGAAAATACCTTGTATATTGCAAAGAATTTATTAAATGTAGAGGGTTGTTATTGATTCCAGCATACAGCAAACATTTATTGAGCATCCATAGTGTGTTAGGTGCTTCCTTGGTTCCGGAGTCGCTGTTCATAAAGGGACTAGGAAATGACCAGATGGATTGTATGTGGGGCAGGAGGGCTTCCTAGGCAGAGGAGGAGCTTTGAGCAAAGGTAGGGAGGCAGGGAGGCCAACTCTAGGCAAAAGTTCATGTGGCTGGAGCAGAGAGAACTTATTAGAAGGGAGTGGAAGGAAGTGAGGCTGGAGAGGCAAATGCAGGCTAAATCAGAAAGAACCTGGGAGTGACGTTTTACCTTGAAGGCAATAAAAAGTACTTGAGTCAGTGACATGATCAGTTATGCATTTGAAGGAGATCCCTGGCAGCCTGTGAATGACATTGATGGAGAGCCAAAATTACATGCAGAAAAAATTGGAGATTTTGCAGTAATCCCGTGAAAAAATGTTAACATACTAAGGCGGTGTTGGTGGGAGGAGGAGGGACAGCTGAGAGAGGCGGAGTTGGTGTTGGGGAGGCGTGAAGGTGAGGGAGAAGCCAGGGCTGTCTCCCCGCTGAGGGGGGGGACCGTTCTGTCAGTTGTTGAACCTGGCACAGGAAAGAAGGAAAGACATCTTTTTCTTTTTCAGGAGTGTAAGAAATGGGGCAGAAGATGAGCTTGGTTCTGAATGTTAACTCTGAAATTGCCTGTCATCTGAGTTGGGGTGTCCCATAAGCAGTAGTTGGACATGTGTGTCTGGAACTGTAGAAGGACGCCTGGGATGAAGATAGAAATTTGGATGAAGCATTCACTAATTGAAGTTAAAAATGTGATGAGATTCCCCAGTGAGATGGTGTGGAACGAGAAGAGGGCCAAGGATAGAACTCTGGGGTACACGGATA